AAACCAATCTTATTACTCCTTTGCTTAAAATTCCTTAATGAGACTGCAAGAGCCATAGGAAAAACATTCCAGTTTGTATAAAGGATTCCTCACCAGACATTGCTCTACCGAAGGGCTTCTTATCTACTCACAGCTGTATTCCTATGTTCTCTGCTCCTGGAATACCTCATACTCTTTTCATACACCTCTCTTTCTATATATGTTGGTTTCCTTAGTGTGATGGTCCTTCTTGTGACAAAAACATAATAATCTTTTTGTGTGTGTGCATATGTGGTACTGAGGATGGAACCCAGGGTTGCTCTTCTATTAAACTTCATCCCCAGGGCTGTGGTAGAGCACTCACCTAGCACATGTGAGGCACAGGTTCAATCCTCAGCACCACATTAAAATAAACAAAAATAATAGCAGATGAAGTTAAAAAAAAATAAATAAAAAAATACATCCTCAGTCCTTTTTATTATTATTTTTTAAAATTTGTTTTGATCAGTTATACATGACAGTAGAATGCATCTATGCACTTTGATATATCATACATAAGGAGGGTATAATTTTCCATTTTTTTGATTGTACATGTTGTAGAATCACATCAGTTATGCATTCATATATGTACATAAGGTAATAATGTCTGTTTCATTCTACTACCCCTTCCTATGTTATTTCGTGGGGGAGGGGAGTTACCAGGGTTGAACTCAGGGGCACTCCACCACTGAGCCACATCTCCAGCCCTATTTTGTATTTTTTTTTAGAGACAGGGTCTCACTGAGGTGCTCAGTGCCTCTGTTTTGCTGAGGCTGGCTTTGAACCCATGATCCTCCTGCCTCAGTCTCCAGAGCCACATGACAGCCATGTGCCACCACACCTGGCTTTATTTTTTATTCTGAGATAGGGTATTGATAAGTTGCCCAGGCTGACCTTGAACTTGTGATCCCCTTGCTTCAGCCTCCTGAATAGCTGAGATTACAGGCTTGAGCCATTGTGCCTAGCCCAGTGTCACCTTTTTTGAGGAAATTTTCCTTAATAAATTTGACAGTGAATTGCTCCTTCTTTCTTACTCTCCAAACCTATTCTTTGTACCTCTACTATGTCAAGTGTCACTCACAGTCACTGGTTTTAGATGTCTGTGGGGAAGGTAGACTTATATGTCATTGAAGGCATGGGTATTAAATTATTAATAGTCTAGTGAATATATTTCCTGTTTTGTTACCATTTTGTATTAAAATAATTTACCAATTTTAAAACTTAAGAGGCACTGAAAGTATCTTTTAACTGGGTGTCATGCATCTGTCCCAGCTACATGGGAGGCTGAGGCAGGAGGATTGCCTGAGCCCAGGAATCTGAGTCAGAGGAGCACAGAAAGTTCATTTAAAGGCAAAAAACAAAACAAAACAAAAAAAAAGTATTGGCAATGTAAGAGGAGAAAAGCATGACATCATATACAAATTGGTAATTGTACCAGTCTAACAATCACTAGGGGGGTCTTACATTTACAATACCACAAAGATAATCATTTTTAAGCTTTATATATTTTCTTTCACTATAGTCAAATTAGATTTTATCTTACGATTTTATCTTACTATAAAGTCTAATAATGTGTCAATATTCAGATAAAGTATATTACCATATAGCAAATAACAGTTCATAGATTTTGACTGTTAGTTTTAGATTTTTACATTTTTGACAATTTCTAATTATCCAAATTTGGAAGGAAACTGCATGCAACATAAACACATAAATAATTTCACACTTTAATTTTCTACCCCTTCAAATCAAGCTTTAAAAAAACTATTAGGAAGAAATGTTTCTAGGATGATATTTTTTATTCAGTCCTCTTTCTTTGCCTATCTCCCTCCAACAGAAGTAGAACACAGGAAGAAAAAAAACATGAAAAATTAAAAGGAGGAAGTAGACTCTTAATACACAGCAAAATATCACAAAATTTCTTTTTATCACGTCATAATTTTCTCCACACTGACAAAAATGCTTCCCAAATTTATTAATTTCACATCCTAAAGTTTCTCCTCATCTCTTTCATCTCTCCCAACCCAGCTCATTAATTGATCATTCAAAAACTATTTACTGAACTCATCTGTAGACTCCGATCTCAGTACTCCCCCAACTTCCTTCTGTCTCAGTCTTTATCTTTACAGATCTTTAGATCAAGTTGGCTTCTAAGACTTGTGTGGGAAGAAGCCCATCACTCAGACTTTGCTCCACAAGGGAGACCAGAAGGTGGCAAGCAAGTCTGTTTACTCCTAAAAAGGGGATCAAGGAAAAGAAATGGAGAACTCTACAAAGACTTATAAATTATTAACTTGTCTTCTATTCCTGCTGCTCATTTTGCTTTAAGTTTCCTAACAGAAAAAGGCACAGGACTATCAGAAATGTATTCATTCAACAAATATTGATGAACCACTCTGTATTTATCAGTTCTGTTTCTAAACCCTAGAGATAAGGCAGTAAATATAACAACCAAAAAGCCATTATATACTAAGTGAAAAAATGTGTTGCTGGCAAATCTGGGTAAAGGAGTGAGTGCTATTTGGTGAGGGCAGCTATTGTATTTACACACACAGGCGTGCGCGCACACACACAATGAATGAAGGCTGCATAGATAAGGTGAGCTGAGCAGACCCAAAGGGAGTGAGGTACACAAATATTGGGGGGATTAGAATCTCAGGCAAATTAAAACTGCACAAATCCTAACGTAAGGATGTGTTTGCATAGTTGATGTATTTACCAAGAAACAAGGGAGACGCCATGGGTAGACCAGACAGAGAACAAGCTTGCTGCTGAAGTCAGAGCAAGAATGGGGTCAGGGCTAAGGCTAGAACAGGAGGGCCTTGCACACACTGAAGGGGCAGAGACTTTTCCTCAAAAGAGCTGAGGATCCAGGGAAGGAATCTTGAGAAGAGGAAAATGATGTGTTTTCCATTTTTAAAGGGATACTCGGGCTGCTAGGCAGAGAACAGATTGAAGCCAATAAAAATTAGCTCCCTATTTTAGGAAGAAGAAAGAGCATCCAGAGTAAAGATGATTATCAGAATGTGAGTCAGAAATGTGGCAGGAATGGATAGGTCTACACAGCAGCTAAGAAAAGACCTTTCATTCCCCAAGTTGAGTTAATTCATTCCCCAAATAAAAGGTCAACTCAACTTTTTCCTGGATTATTGTAGTAGCTTCCCATCTACCCTTGACCTCCTGAAGTCTATTTGGTATGTAAGGGGACTTAGTTAAGTTTAAATCTGAATTCTGCGCAATTTAAGCCACATGTAGGTTTGGATGTATATTAAACAAAGACCAAATGACTATCCCTCAAAAGAAGTGCACAGTGCTTCCTATGGAATCTTCCATCACACTCTAGCTTACTTCATTTTTATGTGAGAAGGGTTTGCCTACAAGTATAAGTTTTAAAAAGGGGGAAAAAATCCCAGTCATTAAATGTACAAATAATATGTACATTAAATTTGCATAAATTTTTCTTGCCTAACTTAAAAGCAATAAAATGATCCGGGACAGTAGGCAGGAAGTGGCTACATTACTGCTTTTTCAGTTTAGACCTTTTTAAAGGAACTCATAAAGCCCACATTGTTGTAGTGGCCATGCTCTCCGGGGTGTTGTCCCCTTAAGCAGAAAGGAGGCAAGAGCGTCCCTCTGTGGACCCACACTGCCCTCTGAAGCCTTGCCATCATCCTCCAGCCTCACTGCAGTCCTCCCTCCAGCTGAGAGCTGACTCTCTCCCATCATCCCTAACCGAAGATGGAATGAGAAGGGAGAGAAGCCATTTCAGGAAAAAGAGAACTTCACTGATGGAGAAAAGACTTCCCTTTTACTGCATTTCTGCTGCTTCTCCTTTTTGCAAATTTCACATTTAGATATGGTGGTAAACCGTGGAGAGATCACAGGAACCCCGAACTTCACACAAGATCAGTGAACCCCTGCAGAGGAATTCATGCTTCTGGCTGGGTAGTGGAAGGAGCAGGAGCAGGCACAGAATCGGCTGCTCAAACCTTCAGCAACTACTAGAACCTGGGAACATAGCCAGCCAGAGCCATGCAGCTGCAGGAGGGGGTTTAGCTCAGCTCTTCTGCTGCAGGACTATGACCAACTAACCTCGCCCCAGGGCTTCACGCACCCCAGAAGTCAAAGGCAGGAAGGAGAGACACCACAAGTAAGAGACTCTTGCTAACTACCAGGATTGCTCGTTCTATGTTTCAGTTCATACCAGTTAGCAGTGTAGACATTCTTCAGGGAAGTCTATATATCCATGCAGAAACAAGGGGAAATAGCTAAACAAAATGAATCCATTTCAGCTTTTAAAAATATTTTTAGTGGGTACTTCCGGTTCACATGATATTTTTACCACACAGTGGAATTTGCATTTCTATATGAAAGACTCAATTTCTCATTAATTAGCTCTCTTGAAAAATCAAGGACACCACTGTGGATTAATACTGCTGCTAACAATTTTTAAAAACAATCCATGCTTATCTGAACAATGTTATTGTATATGGAAAAATAAGGAAAATTTACTCCCTGGAACTTCTTTGCTGAAACAAGGCTGGGGTGGTGGAAATATTTGTTTTAACAGAACAACGCTCTACGCTCTGCACCAGAGGAGTGTAACTGATTAATATGTCTTAACTGTGTTCACACCAGAAATGCAGGGAAAAAAGGAACTTTTGCCTTCTTTCTCTGCATTCCTTCCCTCACTGGCTGAATTTTTAAACTTTACAAATATTAGTTATATTTCTCTGGCCCATTGTTACCACCAAACCAATTTGTATCGTTTTAGCCCAGAGGAAGCTGCCTGGGAAAGCCAAAAACTGTCAATAGTACATATTTTTATCTCAAAGCTATAAAACAAGGTGAGGCTTCTTCTTAACTTTAAAAGGAAACTGAACTCTGCCACTTTTATGTCCCTCAGCAAGCAGCATTATTCAGTGACCCACACACTCTGAAAACAGTATGAGAAAGATATTCTAGAAAATGAAACCACTTACCTTGATCAGTGGACATGACTTCACATATACTGATAATTAGTCCATTCTGACTTAGTAAGGAAACATTTGCCTTTACTCTCTTAAAGTTCATGTGATAAAATCTCACTCCTGACTTTACAGCTTCGGGGTGATCACCCGGGATCAGCCAGGAGCTCTGGCCAGTACACTGTGGACTTCAGTACATTCTTAGATCTTACTGCCCAAGGACAAGCCCATGCATAATATGCCACACCTCCCCAGAGGATGGGCTGCTGCTGTGTTTTGCAAGAGATGCAGTACATGAGGATGGAGAGATTTCTATTTATTACAGTGAAATAAACAAGGGAGGCACATGGAACCTTCAATTGCACTAGAAATACAGTTGGGAATAGGATGGTTTATAAACTGACTAATGCCTGAACTATTAGTAATCCTTCTTGAAAAAAAAACTAACATGAAAACAGTTTGTTTCCCTTTTAACTGGGTCCATGCCCTGGACCAAACGTCACAGATTCACAATTCATAAGCTTTAAGATATTAGGATCTCAGCTTAAATGATGTCAAATGCTATTTTGCCAAGTATGACTTTTCTTTTTAGCATAGCTCACTGATTTTTGTGAATAAACTGCAGAATGAATAAATACATCAAGGTCCCAAGGAAACCACGTTTTATGTTATTTCAGAAACTTGTTTAACTGGTAAAATATTGTTGCTCAATTTTTATGTAATTCACAAAATTTGATCATTAAAGATTTATCAGAACCCTGAAGAATTAGGAAACGTCAGAATGAAAATATTTACAAAAATCACAATGAGGTAATAGGCTATCAACTCCTCCCTCACAGGAGACGGCAACCTCTCCAATCCATTCCTCCAAGTGTCCAGATATGGTGGACCTCACAGTCTAGTGCCTACAGATACACCTGGGTGACTGTTCACACATATTGCTCGCTGGGTCCTATTTCCAAGGTCTGATTCAGCTGGTGTGCTGTGGGGCCACAGAATTTGTAATTCTAACCAGTTCCCACATGACTCATAATGCTAGCCTGGGCTGACACTTCAGGAATCACACTTTGAGAACCACTGAGCAGGTTGCTTCATCTCACCAAGGACTGAGAGCACATGCTCAATTGCATACCCACCAGGACCAATTAATGTCCAAGTTCCAAGACTCTGTTTCCTTTCTTCAACACAGCCTTTATATGGGACTCTTAGTAACTCACACTGAATGTGGGCCAATCATTTTAATACAAATTATAATTTTTAATAAATTTGCTCCCTGTGGTTGGGGATACGGCTCAGTATTGAGAGCACTTACCCAGCATGCATAAGCATGAACTTGGAACTCAGAGCACAGGAAAAACAAACACAAAAACACAAAAGAAAATTGTCTCCATAAAAAGCATGAAGTTTTGAAACTAATCTAATAAAAGAATACAGAATTAGAATGTAGAAGAAAGAACTCAAAAGAGAAAAAACCTGAATTGTCTTTTAGTTCTTTCACAAACTCTACTAGTATGTGTTTAAATTTCACTGTGGAAGAGAAACTGTTTAGATTTTATTCCAAGACCATGCAGTCTTGGCACATCTCAGTAATGTAAAAACCAGAATGTGTCTCTGTCACAAAAATGCCCCAATGTCTGCTTCCTAAGCCTTGATAGTAACATTTAAATTATAGTCTCAGGTTTGGTTTTTAAACAAATTCCTTTTTTTATAGCTAACATTTACTTGGTGCCAGGCGCATGTTAAGAACTTTCCAAGCAGCATTTCAGTAAATTCTACTGTCAGGTAATAATTTATCACCATTTTAAAGAAGAGAAAAAAACAGACTTAAGAGGTAAAAAACCTTGGCCATTCACACTAATAAAATGACAACCTCTAGGAAATTACATCCATTCACTTTTGTGCAACAAATTAAGATACAATGGTATTCATCTTCTCTTTATAGATGAAAGCCAGAAAACCAAAACATGGTTTGCAACTCGTAAGTAATAATTAAAATAAAATACATCCAGGACTAGAAGTGTAGTTTAGCAATAGAATGTGTGTGTAGTATGCCCAAGATCCTCAGCTCAATCCCTGGCATCAAAATAATTAAAATGTAACTATTGTGATTGATACTCTATTGACCTCAAGTCGATAATCTGCAATTATATGAAGCAGCTACCAAACATGGAAGTAAATTCTAAACCACTCAATGTAGCCATGGCAGTTCTCACATAATTAAGATAAACTTGGTAAGGCTCAAGCCTAAAATCCCAGAAGTTTAGGAGGCTGAGGCAGGAGGATCACAAGTTCAAAGCTAGCCTCAGCAACTTAGCAAGGCCCTAAGCAATTTAACAAGACCCTGTCTCAAAATAAAATATAAAAAGGGCTGGGGATGTGGCTTGATGGTTAAGTGTCCCTAGTTCAATCCCCAGTACAAAAAAAAAACAGGACGCACTTGATCATATCACATGACCCAGCAATTCCAACTCCTCACTCAAAAAACTTGTACATGGATGTTTACAGAGGTATTATTTGTAATCATCCAAAACTGAAGACACTTACTTGTCCTTCAACTAGTGAACTGGTACATCCCTACAATGGCACACCACTCAGCAATAGCAAGAAATGAAGTCAGGACACTCACACATGCACTAGAAAGAAGCCAACGTAAAAGGCTACCCAGATATAATTCTGTGGCACATTCTGGAAAAGGCAGATTCACAGATGCATGGTGGCCAGAAGCTGGTGGTATGCACGATAACTGATCACTAAAGGACATGACAAAATTTTGAATGACAGAAGAACAGTTGTGTATTTTCACTTTGGTGGTAGCTGTATGACTGCATCCATCTGTCAACACTCAGGAAGGCACTATAGCAAGGGTAATATTACTGTTTGTGAATTCTTAGTTGTTTTTTTTTAAATCTAAGGACTACAAACAATTTATTCTTTCTAAAAAGCAAGAGATAGGAAACAGGTGGTTTATCTTTCATAGTATGAACTCAAAGCTACATGAGGTACAGTACATCTATTGCCCTTCTCATCTTCACAAATAGAGATCATCATTATTATTTTGTTGGTTTTCTGTGATTTTAAAAAACTTGACAAGTACAAAAAAGTGAATTTAGTAGCTTCCTGCACAAAGTCCAATTGTGAAGGTTGACATTTATAATAGCACCTTGAAAAGGTCCTTTCAAATATTATGTTTAGACATCTCCTTAACATTATTTGTTATAGGTGTCAGCCCTGGAAAATACCTAAAATCCCTGCTAACCAACTTGAAGCTCTTCACAGAACACCTGTGCTCTAAAGTCTTAGCAGGCGTTCACGCTACCCTTTCATCTTTCCTCACTGTAGAGATGTTTATTTCTGTATAAATTCCACTGAATAAGGAACTAAAGAAACTTCTGCCACATATTCACATGATATTTCATAGTAATTTTTTCATTATGTTGAACTTAAATTTCTTTTTAGGGAGGACTGCCTATGTTATTTTTAGTAGTTCTATTTATAATGGAAATGTTCTGAAAATCAAGAGTTCTGTATGCAACCCATATTTTCTGCATCTGAACCTATAAATGTACAATTTTTGTTTTTCATATACCATGGAATGAACCCAGGAACACTTAACCACTCACTGAGCAACATCCCAAGCTCTTTTTTATTTTCAGACAAATTCTCACTAAATTGCTTAGGGCCTCACTAAGTTACTGAGACTGGCCTTGAACTTGTACTCCTCCTGCCTCAACCTTCTGAGTTGCGGGGAGTATAGGTGTGTACCCCACACCTGGTTTATAAATCTATAATTTTTAAAATAGATGGGTGACTACATTGTCTGCCTTAGCATATTTACTTAAAGCTAACTAGAACATCATCTGTCATATAATTGAAAACTTCCATCTATTAAAATGGCAAACCTCGCTTTAATAAATTATCTACTAGCATAAATTTCACAATAAAAACCATAACCAACTGGAGCATAATTTTCATGTCGTATGTCTGAGCCCTCATGAACCAAGGTTTACAAATTCTTGAATGTATGCCAGGGAAATCCTGTTGCTTGAATATTTTTGTACTAAACTTTTTTTTACAGATCTCCAAAGCAACCTTATTATCTTTGAGCCTCTTCTTTTGTTAAAAAGTTACTAAAAATGTTTTCTATTACCCTCTTTAGTTTCATGTTCAGTTAAAACTGCAATCACACAGTACTGCTGAAACAGTGCCAACCTCTACCTCCAAATCAGGGTTTCTGGATGGATGGGACCACAATCTGACATTGAATGGCTGACCGTTCGTTCCATTACTCTTTCACTTTGGAAGTCCTGACAAGGCTACACCTTTCTAATGGCATGTGAATAGGAGGTACAGTGTACACTGTCATGAGATACATGACATTTTGGTCAATGACTATCTGCTCATACAACAGTAGTCTCATAAGATTATAATGGAGCTGAAAAGTTCCGATCACCTGGTGACACTAGCTGTTTTAACACTTTAGCACAATACATGACACACCCGTTGGTGGTAACACTGGCATAGACAAACCTTCTGCACTGACACTGTAAAAAACTACAGCACATAGAATTACATAATACTTGATAATAGATTACTGTGTGACTGGTTTATGTATTTTCTATACTACATCGTTATTTTAGAGTATAGTCCTCCTTCCACTTAATAAAAAAGTTTACCATAAAAGCGTATGCCACATCACGCTGTCAGTGGCCTCATGCACTCACCATTCTCCATTGCATCAGAGGCCCTGTTGAAAGCCAGATGTGGTGGTGCACGCCTGTAATCCCAACTACATGGGAGGATAAGGCAGGAGGATTGCAAGTTCAAGGCCAGCCTGGGTAATTTAGCAAGACCCTGTCTCAAAATAAAAGAGGGCTGGTGGTGTAGCTCAGTGGTAGCGTACTGCGAGGTACTGTCAAGGGATTGAACTATACCACATAGGTTTATGTATGTTCTATGATGTTCATACAACGAAACCGCCCAATGATGCATTTCTCAGAATGTGTCCCTGTCATTAGTAATGCATGACCACATTTTAGATAAATTGTTCAGAAAAAAAACCTTTTACCTGTAATGACATCTGACCTTAATAAGTCCATTCTAATAAAAAAAAAAAAAAATACATGATAGCAAGGCCCCAAGCAACACAGCAAGACCCTGTCTCAAAATAAAAAATAAAA